GACAACTGTCCAGAAAATAGTTACAAATACATTTTCAGAGAAAAAGAGTTTTTACTCTTCATCCTTTGTCGTTAAGGTGAATCCAGCATGGATCAGATTCCTGTCACACCTTGCAGCTCTCCAATCTCCTCTTCATCCTCTGTGACCACCCAGCCGGCTCCCCGGCCTGACTTGTTTCTCCCTCCACCCATTGACGCCTCATCTGCAACAGCAGAGAGCTGTCCTTCGATCTCAGAACCCCAATCTGACTCTGAACCACCAACAGCCTCACCTTTACAGAAAGAGGAGGCAGACGAAGCCTCGGATATGAACCACAGAGCTCCCAATAAAGACCTGCTGGAGATCGACCGCTTCACAATCTGTGGCAACCGAATCGACTGACCAGCAGCAGCTGCCGATGTAGCAAGTAACCCACTCAGGTATAGCGGAGAACGCAGGCTCTCAGCCAGATCCTCCAAGCTGAAAGCAGATTATTTATGGGCAATATTGGTAAGTTATTGTTACCAGGGACACAGCGTCAGGCGGTTCTGCTGTGATCGCCGCCTCAGGTCGAGAAGTTTGACGAAGAACACTTCGGGTGTCTGATAAACAGCAGGAGACAGAAAGTGTGAGTGTGGAAGCCGCGTCATTGGGACAATCTGCCAATTGATGTGTGGGTGTGGGTGTGGGTGTGGGTGTGTGTGTGTGTGTGTGTGTGTGTGTGTGTGTGTGTGTGTGTGTGTGTGTGTGTGTGTGTGTGTGTGTGTGTGTGCGCGTGCTTGTGTGAAAGAAAGCAACAATGCGTGAGTGTGACAGCACACAAGCACTTCCTGATTGAGCAGCTGTGGGATCAGAAGGAGAGAAATGTCGCTCCGCAGACAGAAAACAAACTAAAACCACAGATTTTTAAAGCAAGTGTCAGAAGATTAATTTTGTATGAGAACATGCTGAAGTATCAACATATTGGCTTTCAAGACTAAGTGATTATTTTAGGCATTTATGTTGAGATGGTGTTGCAAACAGAAAAGCAGGAAATATATTTTTGAACATATAAATCACTTTATTTGGTTTATTGAGGATAATAAAATGTGGATTACAGAGAACTACATGAAATTTATAAATCAAAGCATAAGAATCAGCAAACATGAAATCCAAAGTAAAGTAAAAAAAAAAACCTCCAAAACATTATTTTAAACTGTTGGCTTTAAAAGGGTGTTTTGTTTACATCATCATTGTATCATTAACACCTTCACCAAATTACTGATGATGTTCACCATCCTGCTGATGTTAACTAAGCAGCTTCTGCTGGTCCCTGACTCGGCATGTGGAAAGCAGAGGTGGAGGTTGCAGCGGGTCAGTTCCATCAATAATGTCACCTTTTTATGAACAAAGTGATAAATCGTTCAATATTATCATCTTCAAAGTCTTGATATCCATTAAGACGGCATCAGTGTGGCGTCTCCTCTGGAATGCACCAAGTTAGTTTTTAATTCTTTTGGTCTCAAATGTTTGCACTGATGGACCATTAAGTTACATCGAGTCATGTTTCACATGAACTCAGCTGACGTTTCCATAGGAAAATCTTAGAAAGATAGAAGCAATATTTCCACGACAGAATGCCTTTTTTTGCATGTGTGCTTTAAAACCTGTAATTCGACTGACTTTAAGAAGTTATTGTAAACTGTTTTTTTTATTGTGATTAAAAGAGATGACAAACATATGGAGTATATAAAAAACTGTTTATAATTAAATGTTAGGACCATATAAAAATCCCAAACTTGATTACCGGTATATTTATGATAGAAAGTCAAGCAAAGTCCTTCAGTTTTATCAGAAATATGTCAGTTTCAAACATAATGCAAATATAGTTGGATTTGCTTTCTGGTTTCATCCATTATTTCACAGTTAATGTGTATAAAATCTTTTCACCAAAACACAATTTAAAAAGAACTGTTGACTTGTAAAACTGAATCAGATTTTTAGAAATTAATTGTCTTTGTCATTCAGTCTTGGAAACCAAAATGTACTTGGAACAAGGACGTACAGACAAATTTCAAAGATTGTTTAAGCCAAAAAAAAGTTGCCATTAATGTTAAAGGGCAAAGTGTTGCTTCTCATTGTCCATCATAATAAGTAATATGGTCCTACTTGGGGAACTGTAAATTCCATGTGAAATGTGATTCCTCAAACCATCGTGTGGTTCTCTCAGACCCGACCAGAGTCGTCCAAACTCTGTTTGTTTACAGTGAAGGGCAGCCGAACTGCAGGCGGCCAATGCTGAGGTCAACAGAACTGATGAAGTGGAGTGTTTTTATGTCCAGTACACTGCCTGCTCTTTTTTATTAGTTTAGATTTATATTTAATTCATATCTTGATAATGAATGAAATTGCCTTTTTGAAATAATAAAATGTTTTTTTTTTTTTTTGTTTGTTTTGTTTTTTTTAAATGGTGATCGCAAATGTTTTCTTTAATCCCATTAAGGAAAGGAGTAACTGTGAGCAGCAGCTTTTTTTGTAGCTGTAGCTCTGAATCTAATTCGGTAATCATTGGAGAATTACATCAATCAATAATCAGCCAGATTAGAAAACTGATATGGAAAAAAAAAGTCCACTGGTGTATGTCTCCAAAGGCTTAAAGGGAGCCTTTGGAATGGCCTACTTAAATATGATTGCAGTATTGCAGCATGAAAAAACACTTATTTTTGCAACATACATGTAATACAGAATTGTCTTTTTCCTCTGGTGAGATTGCATACATACAACAGAAGCCTTCTGTGATGTGGTGTTGAAACAGCTTTAATAATCATGAGAAACACCTGATTGCACATGAACTATAATGGGTATAGCACATTTCACTCAGTGACCAGGATCATGCAGTTTTTACTCTGTCTAGTAAGTAAACATTGCCAACTTAAGTAGGGGATTATCAGAATAAAATCTGACTAAAAAGCATGGTACTTTTGTAAAGGACAAACAGGTATAAAAGATGACTTGATGAATGCATATTTGGAGTGCAAACTATGGCTTTAGCTAAAGGAAACAAGAACTGGGTTGGGGGGAAGGAAGATATGTCAAAAGTTCAATGAAACACTTTAAAAACACAAACATACATTGAGAAATAGTAGGGGAGGGGAAAGCATAGTCAAGGTGTTTCAGCAATACAGCTGCATATCAAATCACTCTAAAAGCTAAATGATAGTTTAAAATCTGACTCTGATTCTTATACTTCTGGAGATGTTGACAGAATCATCGTTTGGAAAACCAGATTTAAAAAACAAAAGGACTGAGGCTCACAAAGTTGGAACATTGGTTTATATTTTTGACTTCCCATTAGGATGATGACCTCATCTTTACCCGCATACTGTCTGTTGGGAAGCGGAGGTCAGGCAGAGTAAATCTGCACCAGACATTCTTAGATGGTTAAGCTCCTTACACTGCCGAGAGCTGAGGCAAGCTGCAGCCCTGTTACAGCTTCCTGTAGGGCGGCAGGTGTAGTTGTAGGTTATTTAGATACATTCCAGTGCAGCAGCAGTGGTCTTAATGGGTGGAAAAAGAACTTTAAAACGGAAGTCGGAAGAAAATAATCAGGAAAGATGTTAAAATATTGTTCATTCAAGGCATTTTTAGTCAAACCAGACAGAAACACTAACTTGAATCCAAAAGTCATCTGTTCCAACCCAGGGTCTAAAACATCATTTACCAGTACAGTGAAACCATTCTGCAGGTTTAATGACCTTTTATCTGTAAAGAAATATGATCGCAGTCGACTATGAAACTTTTCTAAGCCAGGGTTGAGGCTTGATTTTCTCCACAGTCAGAACAAAGATCTTATTGTACTGAAAAATGTTCACCTAAACATAGCATCAGCAATCATACCAGTAAGCCAGGTATCACCATGGCGACAGTAGCATCTGTTAGATGGATGGAAAAGAAAAATTGAGGACCTGGTATAAATGACATGTGAACACAATGCATTCCAGATGAATGAAGTCAAAACCCAGTATTAGGAAATAAAAATGTCAATCTGGAAGTGTCCATAACACATAAACATCATAAGAGGAAATGTATTAAACTGTAATCGAATAATAATAATGTTAATATTAAAGATTATTCTAATAAAATAGTGCACATGTTCCTCTTCAATGATTGGTAATTTGTAATTGACTGGTACAATTACGTTGAGTATTCTGTCTTAAAAAATTTGAGCGACTGAAAATCATTTTGATCATAAATGATTATACAATGTAACTCATTTTTTAAGATCCTGCTGTCGTCTCTGTTTCCCTCATAATCCACAAATGGCCAAAACCTGCAAATACTCAAGACCCAATTTAAAAACACTTATAACTTCTTGTTTGTATGAAATTTACAGTGGAAACCATCTTAGCACTACCTGAGAATAAATGAGGTAGTGCTACTTACCATTTACCTCAGAAGCTTAAATCTACAGCCTTGCTTCTTCTTTAGCCAATCAACACAATGCTGCTTTACAAACACCAGCCAATAGCTTAGCATTGTGCCTAAATATTACAACTTTCTAAAATAGATTTTCTTTTGAATATTTTAAAAATACTCTATTGAAAAATAGCTATGAAAAAACAGATTTACCACAAAAATTTGGAGTTATGTTTTATAGAAAAATCCATGAATAGGTGAGTCACTGAATTCTGAACCGCGGAAAGGCGGGACATTATGATCAACACTGAGATTCAATACAGTGCTAATGTCAACCATAGTGCTGTCTGAGGCCCCCTGTCGTAGGTGGGCTCAGGCAGTTTCTCAGTTTGCTTATCCCTGGGGCCGGCTCTGACCGTAATCCATAGTTCTAAGCTTTGGGAAATAAATTTGATGGAAAGTGACTTAAAGGTAGATTTAATTACATCTCGTTGGTACTAGCACTCCCTTCTTCCAGCCTCCTTTTCCCGACAGGAGGAGCGCTTCTCTCTGGATTATCCTCTGCACTGTCTGGATGGCTGCGCACGACCCCGCCCGTTCCCGTGACGCAGAGCTTCTCTTTTACGCGCAGATGCTGAAGTCGAAGCGACAGGCGCGCACATCTCTTAGGGGCTGAGCGCATCCACTACCGGACACGGTAGAGGAAAGATCAGCCGGTGTGCATCCGACAGGGATCCCCGCACAGCGGGGTAGGATGCTCAGAACGAGTCGCTCCGTGGGCAGCAGTACTTGAAGAGCTGCAGTCCATCCACTGGAGCGCTTTAAGATTGATCTCGAATCAATTCCTCTGGCTTTTTAAGAAACGCCACCGTCCAGTTTAGTATCTTGAACCAGTTTGAGGAAAGATCGGGGTTTGGCTTGGACACGATGTGGAAGTCTGGGACACTACTGCTGCTGTCGGTGCTGTGGGCGTCCGGTGAACTCCAGCAGGAGACAGAGCCGCGGAGACTACCACCTCCGGGAAAGTTGGATTTTGGTTATGTGCCTGCGGGAGTTTACGAGACATTGGCTCATTACGAACCCGGACCCATAGGGATCCTCTTCCACTTGGTGCACGCTTTCCTGCATGCGGTGCAACCCAACGCTTTCCCCCACGGTAAGCCACCGTCGTCCGGTCTCAGTGAGCATTTTAACCCCGTGGGCTGCCGGAAAATCAGCTTCAACTGGCAGAACTTTAACATTTAAAGTAACCTAAAGCGCTATGTGAACTTGCGGTTACTTCTTTTATTGAGATAGTTGATTTAACGACAGAACATGGGAGATAATCGAGCCCCTTACATTTCTGGAAAGCTCAACGATTTGCGTCATTTTCCAGCGCCAAATCCCCAAATGTTTAATAAAACGGGTTTTTATCCTCAGTGCTGTTTTTATTACTGATCTGCGTGAACATAAGTGCACTTTCTGATCTGCAGCTGGTGTGTGCGCGCGTGGCGTCCATCTAGGCGGCGCGCGTCTCGTTCTGTGCGCACAGCAGCGCACTTTGGAGGTGGTGTTTATGCCTGCGGCGCACTTTGTGTCAAGATGATTACAATTAGTGCACCTACATGTTGTCAGAATCTGATGCTCTGCGGTCGGTCTGCTTGGCATTTTTACGAGTGTAAAGAGCTGTACCCAGAAAGCCTCACTGCGCCAACCTCTGCATTTCAGAAAGGACGACTTAAAGGAGGTTTGTGTTTAATTGGGTATGGGATCCTCAAAAAAGGCAGCTCCCCTGCGCCCCACACAGACTCCATACTCCTTTAGAACATGTTGAAGATTAGTAGCTCTCCAAGTCACCTTGTTAAATGAGTAATCCTATAAGCCTGTGCGCCATATGTTGTTGGCCCCTTAGTTTCCAGTTTGCCACCAGCTTTCAGGGTGCAGCTGGCCAAATCCGCAGCAGGAGCCAGATCTGTGATCATTGAAGTTTTAGTCATTCATGGTTCTACCTTTGTAATTCACAAAATGTTCTCATGGTGAACTTAATTAAATTAAACATCAACGGTTAGCATATGAATGTCAAAAAAGAAGGAGGAAAAAACACCTCATCTGAGAAATCTCCATCATTCTGATGTTTTGATTATTTTTAATGACAACATTCAGCTGCATTAATCAACATTGAACTTTTACATCTATTTTATGTTCTAACCACAATCCAGTGTGTAATTTATTGTGATTTTATGAAACAGACCAGCACAAAGTCAATTTTATTTGCATAGAATGTTTCAGAAAGAAGACAGATCAAAGCATTTTACGTCATAAAAGCATCATACAGTCATCAGTTATGAAACAAGCACTAAACATCACATTTTGTCAAATCCAATTATGTTGTTCAATGTTCAGTTTATTATGATTCAACAGAAACTCTTAACAGGTGGGTTGCAGTTTTCTGGAAGTTTGTTTTGGTTTTGAGGAATATATAATCTGAATGTTGCTTCTCCATGTTTGGTTCTGGTTCTGAGGATGCAGAGCAGATTAGAGCAAGAAAACCTGACTGGTCTGGAAAGTTAATACAACAACAGCAGGTCAAAGTTTGATGTCAACAAAAATGTTTTACATGCAGGCCAAGACGATTTATTTAGGTCTCTTCCTCCTCTTTTCTGTCTCCCTAACTTGATTTGTGAAATGAAGTCAAACAAAACCCCATCTGCAGTTATGAAAATGGATTTTCTTGTGACTTCTTGAAGCAATCTTTAAAAAATGTTCTTTAACAATTTAAACTGGAGATGCAGTGGTTCTGACGTTTTGGTCAATTTCTGAGAATCGGTTTTTGCACAACCCTGACCGGTTCATACCAACTGAAGCTCCAGTTTCTCCTTTAAAATAAGAATACATAAAATCAGTCTTCCATACATTTTCTCCAGACTTCTGCCACAATCATTCACTTTAGCAGCTTCAGCAACACTACAGTGTATGTGTTAGAGAACATCCCCAAAAAAACAATTCTGAAATTATATTTTAAACCAAAATTATAAGTCACTAATTTCTAACTCTTTAGCATCTTTGCAATTATTATAGTTCAGCTGTCTGGATGTAGTTATAGATGAAGTAGACTCAGATTGTTAAACACCTGCCATGATTTCCAAAACTAGCACAGTGCATAACACTGTATGAAAACAGATAAATCTAAGCAGCTTTTCTCTGTTCATCCCTCATGACATCAGTGGAGAATCTGACACCAGAAAAGATCTGCAGACATTTCTCACTATACTATTCATAGAAATTACAGCTTTCATTTTAACAACTTCTTTAACTGCTGTCTCTGATTTCACTTTTACATCACTGGTGAAAATTGCCACTTCATGTCACTAGATGATCAAATTCGGACAGTTCAAGTTAGCTGTTTGATTAAATTTGTACCCAGTTAAGCCAGTGGTGAGTTCTGTCATGTTTCGTTTGTCATTCTCAGTATTTGCAGCACGTATTGTTTAGTTGAGTAACTGTTTTATTAAACTGTGTGCAAACTCGTAGGAGTTAATAATACCAGAGAAGCAACAAATTCCCACCATGAACACCCACGTCACACTAAGTAACAATGCTGTGTTTTAAATTCTGTTTATTGTTTAGTGTTCCTCGAGTTTACTTGTGCACAGCAGCTGCAGATGTCGTCCATTTCCTCAAAACACAGGCTAGCGTTTGGGTTCAGACCCTTGTTTTCAGATAAAGAGTTTAACACACTTCTTGTGCAGCACAGAAAGCCAAGTCATTGTGGCAAAACTGCTTTGGTTTCAGACATCAACGAGAAACTTATTTTATGAACTGACATAAGGACAAGAGTTTCTGTAAAGAGCTGAAGCCATCTGTCATCCACCATACTTCAGCTCTGCTGAAAAGTGTTGAGATATCGAAAAGATATTTCAACAATTGCATGAGTGGCTGTGAATAAGAAGCTTTTGATAAGAAGAATATTAAGTAAGAATTTTGCCAAAAAAATGAATACAATAAATTTCCTCAAAATTATACCAGAATGGTGTGTCTGTTGGGTACCTTGAGTTCAGCTCTTTAAAAAGTAAATCCATATGTCTTTATTAGCATACTGGTCCATTCCTGGAACAAGAGGTTGCTGTTGATTTCAACAAAATTATGAATTACATTCAGGCACATAAACAGATGGACATTCCAAGTAGTAATGAGCTGCTTCAGATTGATAATAATGATAAAAAAAAAATAATGGAGATGTTTTTTTGTTTTTTTTTTTTGCTCTAGTACTTTGTGTTCTTTGAATAAAATACTGGAAGAAAATAGCTTGTAGAGACATTTTTCTACAGTGCCTGAAAACAAGAATGTTGTATCTGTCTGCAAGGCAGAACATCAGGTTCTTTAGAATAATAGGATCCTGAATCTCCTCTAATTTTGAGTTTCAGATACAAATATGGTAATAAGCTACATCGCAATTTCCTTATTATTCATGATTTTTATCCTGTTTTCCATCTGTCTTGACTCCTTACCAGTCACATTGTTTGTGTATTGTATGCATGTTGCTCAACAAATTTAAAACAGTGTGATTCTTTCTGCTGATTATTGCTGTCAAAAGCCAATTAATATGTTTTTAGTGGATTCAATTACACAATAAATGCAATATTTTAAAAGCTAAAATTTCCTGAAAATTTTGAGAAAAGCAGATAAGATCGTGTTTTTTTTTTTTCTTTCTTATTTTGGTTATTTTATTTTGGCAGGGTTCTGACCTTGAATTCAGCAGAGCCTGCCCTCTCTTAAAGGTTTATCTTCACTGGAAAAAAGCAGAATAAAAGCCTGAGCCAGAGAGTAATCTGCATGAGCCCACAGGTAGTTTGCAGCACACAGGGGTGACCAGGCCATGTCACACAGCAGCATACTGCAAAAGTGATAACAGAGAGTGTCCTCCAACTGGAAGGTTGCAGCTCGAGCCTCTGGACAGCAAACATCTGTTGGGCTGAAGTGTCCTTGAGCAAAGTAGAATACAGTGTAAGATGGCGACACAATGAAGCATCTCTGTTGGAGAGGGCGACTCTCTTAGTGCAGAAATTTAGAACTAAAGTGAGTCGTGAGACATTTTTGTAATATCTTTCTGCCTTCTGGTGAAAATGTTTCTAATTAGAGATTTCCTGAACAGCAGGAACATCTGGGGAGATTACCATCAGAGACTTTGAAGATCCCCCACAGAGGCCTAAATTTACAATTCAGATGGTGTCGATATCTCAACACCTCACATTTATATCCTGTGTGTCTAATGAAAAGATACCAATAAATCATTATGGTTGTAACGTAAGTTTGACATTTTGACAAATATGAAAATATTTCCCAAAGCCTTGAAGTTCATTAAAAAAAATTAATCATTATCGGTTGAATAAGTGATGCATTTTTAGCTGCTAAAAGACAAACCTACAAAGGCATAAATCAAGAAAATATAACTGCTTGTGTGAAGGAGATGTTATCAAGACTGTAAGCTAGTCAAACCACAAATCACAACTATTTCTGAAAATATTAAATATGTGCTTAAAGTTTTTCCACAACCAACCATGAACCACAAAACTGAACTGCCAAATTTGTAAAGAGAAGTAAAAATTCCTTGGCAGATAAAAACCTTCAGCTTCAATAAAATTCTGTGCCAATGCAAGTAGCCTTTATGTCACTGTGCATCTTGTCGCAGTTTTGGTCCTGTTTTTTTCTGGAGTCATGTGTAGCAGCGCTGCATCAACATGCTGAAATTAGAAGAGCTGGATTTATCAGATAGTCCTGTGTGTCTGAACACGACTCAGTGCTTCTGTTGGTTTGTTTGCGGCAAAATGGGAATGAATAGCCTTGGAGCTTGACTGACAAGCTCCAACGCTTAGAATATTCTTCAGTCACTTCAATTCAGTTGTTATTAAAATTGTTGCTAGGTCATCTTCTAAACCCATAATCAGTCATAAATGTATCAATTTCAAAACTGATAGATTCCAGCTGGCATTCACATTATCTGTTTACTTCTGTAAACTGCATTCTGTATGTGCAGATCACTTCTGGTTTTACAGACTGTTCATATTGGCGTCTGATGAAGTTCAAATTAAAATGACCAATAAACAACCACACAAAGAAAAAGATTATGAAAGAAGATTGTATATAAAAACTGAATTTTACATAAAAACCTGCTTGAGG